ATCATTTTAAGATCCTATTAAAAAACGCCTGTTACTACCCCCGTTACATATAGCGCCTATTATCCCTACATTTAAAAATAAAAGCCCTTATAAATTATTTTTGTGGATAGATCATAGACCTATGAACCTAGACAATATTAGAATACCCCGTGTTCATAATGTGCTTATGAATAAAGCCCGAATCACACGATTTGTTTTTGAGACTAGGGGTGCGTTCGACTTGGACGCTTACGCGCTGTGAGCGCTCACGCTTATAAGCACGAATTTTTAGCGTTCGACTTGGCCGATAAGCGCTCAGAATCGATAACTAAATTCCGTTCGTTTTGGAAACTGTGAGCGTCAATAAGCATCAAAATGGCGGCAACTGGCGGTAACGGTAATTGTGTAAATTTTATTACTTTCTGGATCATTCAGCGGGATTATACACAATTTAACAATTAATAAATAAATAAAATTTGGTTTGCTTATGCTTAATTAATATTAATATTAAAATTAAAATTTAAAATTATTTAAAATTAATTAAATTTAAAATTAATTAATATTAATATTAATATTAAAAAATAATTGTGATATACAACTTGGCATTTTTGCGGGATTATAAAGAATTTAACAATTAATAAATAAATGAAATTTGGATAGCGTATGCTTAATTAATAGTAATATTAAAATTAAAATTTAAAATTATTTAAAATTAATTGAATTTAAAATAAATAAATAATATGAATAAAATAAAATAAATAATATGAATAAAAAATAAATGTGATATACAACTTGGCATTTTTGCGGGATTATAAAGAATTTAACAATTAATAAATAAATGAAATTTGGTTAGCTTATGCTTAATTAATAGTAATATTAAAATTGAAATTTAAAATTAATTAAATTTTAAAATTAATTAATATCAATATTAATATTAAGAAATAATTGTGATCTACAGCTTGCTATTTTTGCGGAATTATAATGAATTTGACAATTAATAAACAAATGAAATGACAGATAGTAAAAACAACTGACGCTCACGCTCACGCTGCCCTACCTCTGTGGCGTGAGCGTATGTGAGCGCAAAATATGTGCTACGAGCATCCTACGATGGTGCTACGAGCGTACTTATGCCACACTCACAGCGCCAAGTCGAACGATGAAAGCGCGCTCACGGCGCGCTCACAGCGCGTAAGCGTCCAAGTCGAATGCACCCTTCATTGTACTTATGGAGCTGTCAAAATAATTATTAATATTTAAGTTAATATATTGATGTAATATATTAATTATAAATGCATATAATACTCTTCTTTATCTATGATTACAGATGTTTGTTCGGAGATTACGGGCCAGTTTTTAAAATTGCACAAAAACATTAAAAGCCATTTTGACAGTTCGTTTCTTTTAAAGCAAAATGCGTAGCCAACTTCATTATACTCCTGGGGCTGTCAAAATAATTTAATTTACAAAACACAAACAAAATATTATTAAAGTTAATATATTAATTATAAATGGATTAATTATTAGTACTATATGTTGCAATATTTTCCTTGTATTGAATTACTTTTTAGCACAGGTTTTGTATGGAACCATATAAATTAACAATTCATGCAGTTGAAGGTAATAATAAATAATGTAACTTCATTACTCTTGTTTTGTTTAATTGTGATTTTAATTTTAATTAACTAAAAAACAACAAATTTCACTCTTTTATGTTCTTAAGCATTTAGTATTAATCTTACATATAATCATGTAGACCTTATATACCAACACTTTCATTATTGTTATTACGTGTGTAGATAGTATTCGTCTCTATTATCATATTACATTTCTATTTATTTTTCTAGTGCAAAGATGTCAGAACCAAGTCCAAAACCAATAAAATAGGAACTGAAACCAGCATTCTGCCTCAAGGCGAGATATTTATGAAAACAGAACCAAAATTAAAATTGTGTCAACCTCAATTGATGCCTTTGAAATGTCTCACTTTGCAAATGCTGGAATCGATGCAGAAACTGAGGAAAACATCTCAAAGTTGAAACTGAAACATCATGTAACTCAATTTAAGGAGAAAAATGCTAATAAGAAGGTGGACAATTGTTATTGTCTTGTGTCCGACTGTGGTATTAAGATAAAATTTAGAAGTTGTCAAAGTGTGTACAAATAAATATGTAATTAAATATTCTAATATATATTAATCCGCATTCTGATTATCTAGATTTATATAATTTTAACTTAAAACAAGTCAGACTCTAGTCTATACTTCAAAATCAGAAAAATAGTTGTTTTTTTCATAATCATTTGTTTAAAATTTACAAAAATAGTAACAAATATTCAAAAATAAAATTCCTTGTATTTATAATAATATTACAATTCAAAATTAAAGATTATTCAAATTATCGATATTTTATCCCTGTATCGATATTTTTGCACAATTTAACATTTGACACATTTTTTGACAGTTATGACACACCGTGTTCCTAACCAAGAATTTAAAGTTTGTTTATTTAAATAATTATATATTTAATAAACATATTAATAAAAGAAAATAGCTGAATTGTTATTAGTTAGTCACTAACTACAAGTAATGTTGTAAATTTATAAACAATTGTAAAAGAGGTTAGAATTATTTTAATTGTGCAAAAATGGAGTTAGATATTTGGCGAGCCGATTGGGCTTACGCTCTGTAGATATAGATTGTCTGAGAGTTTTGGTAAGTCAATAAAACATAAAAAAACTTACATTTACATAATTTTTGTATGAACTTTTTTTTATCATCAGGTGTATTCAAAAATTATTGGTTGTCCCTTGAAAATATGTGAAACAAACAACCCATTTAGAAGTCCTAAAGGTCAGTTACCTGTTTTGAGAGATGGACGTAAAAGGTTCTGTGGTTTCGATGATATAAGGAGTTATTTAAGCTCTCAGGTTTGTTCATGAACATCCTACGGTTTCTGTAAATATAATAAACGTTTTCTTTGATGCAGGGATATGGTTTGGATAGATCAGTAGAAACTTCGGAGCATAGTAATGCTGTAGCATATCATGAGCATATTAAAACAAAACTACTACCAGGTAATAAATTAATATATATATATATATATATATATATATATATATTTGTAGAGTTTCGAACAATATATATATATATGTATATATATGTATATAAATATATATATATATTATATATATATATATAATATATATATAGATATATATATATATAATATTTGATAATATAATTACAGGTTTGCAGTACGTCTGGTGGATTGATACAAAGAACTACACAGAATTTGTCAGACCCTGGTACGCCAAAGCACTGCCTCTCCCTTTAAATTACATATATCCTGGCAGGTACGAACGCCAAGCCAAGGCTTACATGGAAATTGTGTACGGTGAAGAATTAACACCAAAACAACTAGAAGAATTGTATGTATTTATAATTGTTACTTTTTTTGTTACGTTTTGGTATTATTTGTTTTTCTTTTAGGCTTATGCAGATGCACAAAAATGCATATCAATGCTTTCAGAAAAATTAGGGAACTCTGAGTTCTTCTCTGGTCCTAAAACCAGTTTGTTGGATGTAAATATTTTTGCCTATCTTGCGCCTCTGTTGAGAGCACCTTTGCCTTCAAACGCTCTGCAAAATTATCTTAAGCATTGTGATAATTTAGTCAAATTTATTAACAGGATATGCGAGATGTATTTTCCAGAAATACAATCAGGTGATGATTTAATTTGATGTATATTTCTGTTGTTTATACATACATATGTAAATTTATTAATTGTTGGTATTCTAAAGGAACAATTCTTGGATAAAATAGAAATGTTATGGAAAGGCTATGTAAAAACTTATAAAAAATATGTATTTCCTGTGCGATCAGGCGTTTTATGTAAAACCTAACCTATAAAAATAATTTTGTTATTAACTTCCCGTAGGTTTATTATAGTAGTCGCAAAAAAATCGAAAATGAAAATTTTTATATATCTTTACGTTTCAAAGGTTTCTGAACATTTTGGCATACCTTAGAAAAAATCGATGTATGTGTGTGTGTGTGTGCGTGTGTGTGCGGATGCAAATTTTCGTCGACGATTTCGGTAACACGGATGAAGCGATTTGAATAATTTAAAAAGCATTTGATTCGTATTGTTAAGGAGACGTGCTGATTAGTTTTTGGCGAAGGCAGGTCCAGCCGTTCCAAAGATATGGGGCAAAAAGTGCCAAAAACGGTAACCCAGTTTTCAAGAGAACGGAGCGTCCGATTTGAATAATTCAAAAAAACATTTTACTTGTATTGACAAGATGAAGAACTGATCAAATTTTCATGAAGGCAGGTCGAAAGGTTTCGGAGATCTTGTAAAAAAAGTGAAAAAAATGCCATTTGGCAGTCAAAAATGATCATTAGACATATGCACATCAAATTATCAGATATTTTATAGAGATTTTAACAAGTATAAATTTTGTTTACATTCCTTTGGGTTCCGTACCAATGTTTACGCGTTAGACGGCGACGCGGCGCTTACGCACTTCGATATTTCGTCTCTATGCGGTTAAAGCAGTACGATTGCTTTGGAAAAAAGTTCAGAATTTCTAAAATATGTCAAAATAAAGAAAACATTTTTTTCAAGAAAAAGTAATTTTTTGTCAAATTTATAGTTTCTCAAAAATCTAATTTTTTCGAAGTAATTTTTTTCAACAATGTTAATCTTTTTAAAAAAATAATAATTTTTGGTACTGGAAGTTCCAGCAATTTGCCTTCAGGCACGATAAGCAAATACACACTTTTTGGCAGTTTTTACTAACAATTAATACAAAGATAGACCCATAACATAAAAATTACCATAACATTTTTATTTTATCCAAAAATCGGCATAAGTTTTGCTTAGAATTTAAGTTTGAGACATTTATATTGATGATATAAATGTTTATTACAGATACATCCAATCGCAAAAGAAATTAGCCGAAGAGACCAGAAGAAACATCAAAAGGCTCATGAAAAGGTCAGGTGATGCTGAGGACTTCCCTCACAAGACTCGTTCCTTCTTCTGGCCGGTATAGTTGCATTTGCAGCCATGGCCGGTTATGCTTTGTCTTTAGGAATTTTACAAGTACGAAAAACATTTAAATATTATACAAAAAGCACTTATATAATCCCGGTTTATATTTCTAGATTTCAACAGAAAGTGGTGATTCTTATCCGCACGAGATCATCGATGATGATGATGAATAACAAAGACTGTGGCACCATTAATACCTCGACTAGTCCATTGTGTACTTTTTATGATTCAAGCAGTATATTTGATAGAGAAATATATTATTATAAATTACACCTTTTGAACTTTTATTTATTGTTTGGTAAATACTGTTTCAGTCCTTTTGTATGTCGAAACGGTATTCCTTTTGTGGCCGATGTTATTTCTTCTAAATATGAATTAAAATTGTGGATTGTGTTGGCCTCCGATGACGACACGGTTGCCTAATTGGCTGTTTATGAATGTACTGCCAGAGATTCTTCATATGTTACTCTCGCCGACGATGAACACTACTACTTTCTGGGGGGGGGGCTCCTGGGAAAGAAAACATAGTAAAAAAAACGCAACATATATATATACGAGGTCTGTTCAAAAAGTACCCGGAATTTTCGTTTTTTTCAAAAAAATATTTATTTATTCGTCTACATTAATGTGGTCCCCTTCAAAGTAGTCCCCCCCAGATATAATACACTTATGCAGCGTTTTTTCCAATTTTCGAAGCACCCTTGATATTCACTTTTTGATGTCCTTGAGCACTCTCAGCGATTTTCTTCAATCGAGGAAAACCGCCGTCCTTTCATGGGTCTCTTCAACTTTGGGAATAGGAAAAAGTCACACGGAGCCATATCTGGTGAATTTTTGCACTTTGCAACACTTTATTTCATTTTTTACGCAAAATTTAATACAAATTCTTTGACTTTTCATTCTTCCATTGTAAAATCGCCGAGCTCAGAAAAACACGTCGAACCTTAGCGACTACCACAGACAAAGTAAACAGTGAATATAGCTGAAAAATTTCATCATACTTTAGGGGCATGTATACCAACACAATAAAAAAAAAATTTTGACAATCAGACACTCCAGACCCGCGAAATTTAATTATTAGTATTCCGGGTACTTTTTGAACACACCTCGTATATATATATATATATATATATATATATATATACTAGTGAC